TCCTCCTCCTCCTCCTCCTCCTCCTCCTCCTCCTCTCAAGCCGGGCAATGGCCGCAACGTCCTTAGATTAAGCACGTGTGCGCAACATGCAGCAGCCACCAGGAACAGCAGAGGGCGAAAAGGGCCGGGAGAGCAGAGGGGGCCGCAGGGCACGCAGCAGACCGTGCAGGCTGCGACTCAGCGATGCAGGGGCACGCCTGCGCAAACCCTGAGCAGTCGAGGACCCAAACATGATGGCGTCGTGAAAAATCAGGGCGGGAGGTGTTTCGCTATGTTCGGCCCCTGGGGGCCCTCGCCGGGCCTCGGGACCGTCAAAAAACGATTCGGGATGAAAAGCCGGCCCCGGGGAAGGGGTCGGGACTTCTGGGGACGCCGTCCTGAAAAAATCAGGACGTCGCATGTCTGGGCTGCGGCGACGAAGCCTCGACAAGAGGAAAAAAAAGTCACGGAATAGTCTGGCGACGATCGAGCACGTTTGCTTAATATCTCTGGGATTATTGTTGGCTAGTTCGGCTTTTCGTCCAAAGTCCGCCTGTGTGGGGACATGCCCGAGGCGGGCCGTGCCACGAGGCCTTGCGGGGCCGCGAGGTCACCGTGCGGCCTGTCGCCGCACCCGTGTTGGGAGCCCCGGCGTTGCCGGGCTGCTGCGATCGGCGCTGTCTGGCGCGATCGGGTGGCCGCGCCAGCTGATTTTGTCAGGACGGCGTCCCCAGAAGTCCCGACCCTTTCCCTGGGGCCAGTTTTTCGTCCCGAGTCGTTTTTTGACGGTCCCGAGGCCCGGCGAGGGCCCCCAGGGGCCGAACATAGCGAAAAACCTCCCGCCCTGATTCTTCACGACGCCATCATGTCTGGGCCCTCGACTGTTCAGGGTTTGCGCAGGCGTGCCCCTGCATCGCTGAGTCGCAGCCTGCACGGTCTGCTGCGTGCCCTGATGTGCCCTGCGGCCCCCTCTGCTCTCCCGGCCCTTTTCGCCCTCTGCTGCTCCTGGTGGCTGCTGCATGTTGCGCACACGTGCTCAATCGAAAGACGTTGCGGCCATTGCCCGGCTTGAGAGGAGGAGGAGGAGGAGGAGGAGGAGGAGGAGGAGGAGGAGGAGGAGGAGGAGGAGGAGGACGACGACGAGGAGGAGGAGGAGAGGAGGAGGAGGAGGAGGCGGAGGAGGAGGAGGGCAGGAGCAGGAGCAGGAGGAGGAGGCGGAGGAGGAGGAGGAGGAGGAGGAGGAGGAGGAGCGGAGGAGGAGGAGGAGGAGGAGGAGAGGAGGAGGAGGAGGAGGAGGAGGAGGAGGGAGGGAGGGAGGGAGGGAGGGGGAGGGAGGGAGGGAGGGAGGGGAGGGAGGGAGGGAGGGGGGGAGGGGAGGAGGAGGAGGAGGAGGAGGAGGAGGAGGGAGGAGGAGGAGGAGGAGGCGGAGGAGGAGGAGGAGGAGGAGGAGGAGGAGGAGGAGGGTGAGGAGGAGGAGGAGGAGGAGGAGGAGGAGGAGGATGAGGAGGAGGAGGAGGAGGAAGGAGGAGGAACTGTGTCTGGGAAGCTTCCCTGGGGCCTTCCGCGGCAGGCCGTCGGGCGCAGCCCGGGGGCCGCCGCACGAGGCGGCGGGCCGCCGCGAGCGAGCCCGCGGGGCCGGGCAGGGCGTGCGACGCGCGGCCACGCGCGGCGCTCTCGCTGCGCCCAGCGGCCCCGCCCGGCTGCCCTCCGTCGCCCTCCCGCCCATGATCCCCCTCCCCCCCCTGCTCCTCCTGCCCCCTCCCCTGCTGCTGCCCTGCTCTGCTGCCTCTCCTGCTCGTCGTCATCCTCGTCCCTCGCCTCGTCCTCGTCCTCGGTCCTCGTCGTCCTCCTCCTCCTCCTCCTCCTCCTCCTCCTCCTCCTCCTCCTCCTCCTCCTCCTCTTTCTCCTCCTCTTCCTCCTCCTCTTCCTCCTCCTCGTCCTCCTCTTCATTATTTTCTCCCTCCTCCTCCTCCTCCTCCTTCGCCTCCTCATCACGTTCTTCCTCCATCTTCTTCCTCCTCCTCCTCCTCCTCCTCCTCCTCCTCCTCCTCCTCCTCCTCCCCAGTCTTTTCCTTCTCGTCCCCCTCCCCCTCCACTCAATTCGTCTGCATATTTGTCCCAACGACATATCAAGCCTGTGCGACGTCTGCTGTGGGCACCACTTTCACGGGATCCCAGCCACCAGACTGCCACGACATCGAACAGAACCTACGAAGTGATGAATGCTTTTTGTAGATGCCCGCAGAGCCCACCGGCCAGCGATTTCAAACGATCTCAATGAGACCCCGCCTCACGCTAGGCTGAACTCGGGGAAGGCAAGCGCTCAGCCTGGCTTCACAGGCTGAGCGGCGAATTGGAAGCAGACTGACTGCCCTGTGTGAGTCTGCTTGCCCTGGAGGAGAGAACCAAGCTCCACTTTGCCTCTCGCTCAGGAGCTCGCCACTGCGAGCGCGGCGGCGCACCGCTGCGCCTCCATTTGGCGCAGCTGCACCTGGGGCCCTCGGGCACGTGGAGGCCTCGCAGGAGGGCTGGAGACAAACCTTCTCGCACTGAGGCTCGCACGTGCTCTGGAATCTTCAGTTGGGGTGGAAGTGGAGCACGAGAACGAATTTGCAGGCGACCGCGAGCAGGCGGCGCCCTGGCGCGCAGGGTGTGGTGAGGCGCACGTGCCCCCGAACCCTCAGAAGATGCCGGGCAGGATGAAGTACGGGACCTTCTCCTTGTAAGTCTCCCAGTCCTTCTTGTACTTTCGGGCGCAGCGCTCCTCGTCCCGCCAGAGCCTGTGGATGTCCATGATCCAGAAGTAGGCAACGTAGCTGAGGGGGATCCAGGGGAAGCCGTGCTTCGGCCCCGTGCAGGCCACCGTCCAGCCGACGCACATGACCATGTCCCCGATGTAGTTGAAGTGCCTCGCCAGGGCCCAGTAGCCAGACGCCAACAGGTAGCTACCCTCCTCCGTCTTGACATACTGCACAGGCTTGCCCCAGACCTTGTACGTGCTCAGGTCACCGCCGTCGGCGATGTAGGTGCGGAAGCGGTGCTTCTCGATGTTGGTGACGCGGAACAGGTACATGCCGATGATGTAGAGCGTGAGGCCGATGCCAAAGTTGAGGTAATTCTCCGTGAGGGGGGTCTTCTGGCCCGCGATGTGGCCCATGAAGGCGATCGGGTAATACCACGCGAGGAAGCCGCAGCAACCGTAGGCCAGCATGAAGCCGTAGAGGTCGTGCCTGAGGTCCGTGGTGGTGAGGTACGCGGGCTCGTTCCAGTTGTAGTCGAAGATGTAGTACCAGTGTGCCAGCGAGATGAAGACGGCCGACGGACCGATGCGGCTCCAATCGCCGGTCGCCTGGCAAACTGGCTCTCCGCTGTCCTTGAGAAAGCACCCGTAGTAGACCGCCGCCATGTAGGACCAATTGCAGATGATCCAGATTGTCAGGCCGGCGCGCGCGTTGGAGAAGCGCTTGATGTCGAAGCCCCCGGTCTTCGGCAACCACTTGTGGAAGCAGCGGGGGTTCCGCGCGACCCCGAGCCAGAAGTCGCTGAAGATCTCCTTCACGGTGAAGACGCCCCAGTCCTCCTCGAACTCCGGGTCGTTCACGTGGCGCTTCCACAGGAGGCCGAAGTCGATGTACTGCCACCACGAGACGACGGCGGTGGAGATGACGCCGCCGGTCAGGAGAGCGCCCATGTTCTTCCACACGAAGGTCGCCTCGACGAGGCCGAGGTAGCAGAGCACCACGACCGCAACGTGGGACAAGAAGTACGACAGCAGGCCGTTCATGGGGTACTTCAGGCGGTTGCCGTTCTTCAGCTTGACGCCGTCGTGGACCTCCCCAGGCAGGAATATCTCCATCAGAGCCTGGAAGATGACCCAAGCGACGTAGGACATGGTGCCCACCCACGTCGGCCGGATCGCGATGCCTTCGGGGAGCTCGTGATAGAGCTTCTGCCACCAGGCGGCGTCCCAGGGCGGAAGCTGCAGCCCCCCCTCGTTCAGGACGACGCAGCCGTAGAAGTACCAGATGCAGATGGGAATGAAGACTGACCAGAAGAAGCCCCCGAGGTTCCCTCCGAACTCCCCGATCGGCCGCGTCTGGCGCCGCACGACCGTGTCGGGGTCCAGGGGCACGGGCCCGGGGTAGACGTCCACGCTCAGGGGGGCCCGCCCCTTCGGCTTCGGCTCCGCGGCCTGGCCCGCTGTGCGCTTCTGCGGCGGCGTCTCCGCCCGCGCCATGCTGCCCTCACTGCGGCCTCGCTGCGGCCACTCGAGGCAGACGCGGGTCTGCCCTCTCCCTGGCGGCTCCTGGGGTCGCTCGAGCCACAGAACTGCCCCAGGCGGCCTCTCACAGCGGACCCGCCCCGAGACGGCCCGAGAGGGCCCCGAGGGACCCCCAACCCTGCCGCACAGAAGCTCCTCAAGAAGTGGAGATGAGAGTCGGAGAGGCGTCACTTGTGATAGCCTTCTGGGCGGTGCTCGAAGGGTCGCCGCACAGAGTGCTTCGCTGGCACGGTGGCGGATTTGCCGCAGGCACCTGCACACTTGGATGAGGTCGACAAGGCCCGGCCAGCCCCTGGGGAAGCAGCGCGGCCATCGCCTCGCTGGAGGGAGGATGAGGGAGGCGGAGGCAGAAGGGGTTAGGAGGCAGGGGGAGGGAGGAGGGAGCAGGCCAGCGAAGTTCTGCAGGATGCTTGCCCTGAGTGCTGCTCCTTGAGGAGAGAAAAGCCCCCTAAGTGCCCCAGCGGTTGTGCCTGCTTCCTGCTACGTGGGCCCACCCAAGCTAGCAGGGGCACCGCGCCGGCTTTGCGGCTGCTGCCGAGGACTGGGACCGCCAGCCCGACCTCCACTTCCAAAGGATCTCGATCTGAAGCTCTGCTCCAATCTTGCTCTGGAATCTTCGGTTGGGGTGGAAGTGGAGCGGCCGGTGGGGCCCGTGACACGAGAACGAATTCGCAGGCGCCCGCGAGCAGGCGGCGCCCTGGCGCGCAGGGTGTGGTGAGGCGCACGTGCCCCCGAGCCCTCAGAAGATGCCGGGCAGGATGAAGTACGGGACCTTCTCCTTGTAGGTCTCCCAGTCCTTCTTGTACTTTCGGGCGCAGCGCTCCTCGTCCCGCCAGAGCCTGTGGATGTCCATGATCCAGAAGTAGGCAACGTAGCTGAGGGGGATCCAGGGAAAGCCGTGCTTCGGCCCCGTGCAGGCCACCGTCCAGCCGACGCACATGACCATGTCCCCGATGTAGTTGAAGTGCCTCGCCAGGGCCCAGTAGCCGGACGCCAGCAGGTAGCTACCCTCCTCCGTCTTGACATACTGCACGGGCTTGCCCCAGACCTTGTACGTGCTCAGGTCACCGCCGTCGGCGATGTAGGTGCGGAAGCGGTGCTTCTCGATGTTGGTGACGCGGAACAGGTACATGCCGATGATGTAGAGCGTGAGGCCGATGCCAAAGTTGAGGTAATTATCAGTGAGGGGGGTCTTCTGGCCCGCGATGTGGCCCATGAAGGCGATCGGGTAATACCACGCGAGGAAACCGCAGCAACCGTAGGCCAGCATGAAGCCGTAGAGGTCGTGCCTGAGGTCCGTGGTGGTGAGGTACGCGGGCTCGTTCCAGTTGTAGTCGAAGATGTAGTACCAGTGTGCCAGCGAGATGAAGACGGCCGACGGACCGATGCGGCTCCAATCGCCGGTCGCCTGGCAAACTGGCTCTCCGCTGTCCTTCAGAAAGCACCCGTAGTAGACCGCCGCCATGTAGGACCAATTGCAGATGATCCAGATCGTCAGGCCAGCGCGCGCGTTGGAGAAGCGCTTGATGTCGAAGCCCCCGGTCTTCGGCAACCACTTGTGGAAGCAGCGGGGGTTCCGCGCGACCCCGAGCCAGAAGTCGCTGAAGATCTCCTTCACGGTGAAGACGCCCCAATCCTCCTCGAACTCTGGGTCGTTCACGTGGCGCTTCCACAGGAGGCCGAAGTCGATGTACTGCCACCACGAGACGACGGCGGTGGAGATGACGCCGCCGGTCAGGAGAGCGCCCATGTTCTTCCACACGAAGGTCGCCTCGACGAGGCCGAGGTAGCAGAGCACCACGACCGCAACGTGGGACAAGAAGTACGACAGCAGGCCGTTCATGGGGTACTTCAGGCGGTTGCCGTTCTTCAGCTTGACGCCGTCGTGGACCTCCCCAGGCAGGAATATCTCCATCAGAGCCTGGAAGATGACCCAAGCGACGTAGGACATGGTGCCCACCCACGTCGGCCGGATCGCGATGCCTTCGGGGAGCTCGTGATAGAGCTTCTGCCACCAGGCGGCGTCCCAGGGCGGAAGCTGCAGCCCCCCCTCGTTCAGGACGACGCAGCCGTAGAAGTACCAGATGCAGATGGGAATGAAGACTGACCAGAAGAAGCCCCCGAGGTTCCCTCCGAACTCCCCGATCGGCCGCGTCTGGCGCCGCACGACCGTGTCGGGGTCCAGGGGCACGGGCCCGGGGTAGACGTCCACGCTCAGGGGGGCCCGCCCCTTCGGCTTCGGCTCCGCGGCCTGGCCCGCTGTGCGCTTCTGCGGCGGCGTCTCCGCCCGCGCCATGCTGCCCTCACTGCGGCCTCGCTGCGGCCACTCGAGGCAGACGCGGGTCTGCCCTCTCCCTGGCGGCTCCTGGGGTCGCTCGAGCCAAAGAACTGCCCCAGGCGGCCTCTCACAGCGGACCCGCCCCGAGACGGCCCGAGAGGGCCCCGAGGGACCCCCAACCCTGCCGCACAGAAGCCCAAGACAGCCCCGGGACGACCATGAGGGCTCCTCAAGAAGTGGAGATGAGAAGTCGGAGAGGGGTCACTTGTGATAGCCTTCTGGGTCGCCGCACAGAGTGCTTCGCTGGCACGGTGGCGGATTTGCCGCAGGCACCTGCACACTTGGATGAGGTCGACAAGGCCCGGCCAGCCCCTGGGGAAGCAGCGCGGCCATCGCCTCGCTGGAGGGAGGATAAGGGAGGCGGAGGCAGAAGGGGTTAGGAGGCAGGGGGAGGATGGGGGAGGGAGGAGGGAGCAGGCCAGCGGAGTTCTGCAGGATGCTTGCCCTGAGTGCTGCTCCTTGAGGAGAGAAAAGCCCCCTAAATGCCCCAGCGGTTGTGCCTGCTTCCTGCTACGTGGGCCCACCCAGGCTAGCAGGGGCACCTCGCCGGCTTTGCGGCTGCTGCCGAGGACTGGGACCGCCAGCCCGACCTCCACTTCCAAAGGATCTCGATCTGAAGCTCTGCTCCAATCTGGCTCTGGAATCTTCGGTTGGGGTGGAAGTGGAGCGGCCTGTGGGGCCCGTGACACGAGAACGAATTCGCAGGCGCCCGCGAGCAGGCGGCGCCCTGGCGCGCAGGGTGTGGTGAGGCGCACGTGCCCCCGAGCCCTCAGAAGATGCCGGGCAGGATGAAGTACGGGACCTTCTCCTTGTAGGTCTCCCAGTCCTTCTTGTACTTTCGGGCGCAGCGCTCCTCGTCCCGCCAGAGCCTGTGGATGTCCATGATCCAGAAGTAGGCAACGTAGCTGAGGGGGATCCAGGGAAGCCGTGCTTCGGCCCCGTGCAGGCCACCGTCCAGCCGACGCACATGACCATGTCCCCGATGTAGTTGAAGTGCCTCGCCAGGGCCCAGTAGCCGGACGCCAGCAGGTAGCTACCCTCCTCCGTCTTGACATACTGCACGGGCTTGCCCCAGACCTTGTACGTGCTCAGGTCACCGCCGTCGGCGATGTAGGTGCGGAAGCGGTGCTTCTCGATGTTGGTGACGCGGAACAGGTACATGCCGATGATGTAGAGCGTGAGGCCGATGCCAAAGTTGAGGTAATTCTCCGTGAGGGGGGTCTTCTGGCCCGCGATGTGGCCCATGAAGGCGATCGGGTAATACCACGCGAGGAAGCCGCAGCAACCGTAGGCCAGCATGAAGCCGTAGAGGTCGTGCCTGAGGTCCGTGGTGGTGAGGTACGCGGGCTCGTTCCAGTTGTAGTCGAAGATGTAGTACCAGTGTGCCAGCGAGATGAAGACGGCCGACGGACCGATGCGGCTCCAATCGCCGGTCGCCTGGCAAACTGGCTCTCCGCTGTCCTTCAGAAAGCCCCGTAGTAGACGCCGCCATGTTAGGACAATTGCAGATGATCCAGATCGTCAGGCCAGCGCGCGCGTTGGAGAAGGAAGCGCTTGATGTCGAAGCCCCGGGTCTCGGCAACCACTCGTGGAAGCAGCGGGGGTCCGCGCGGACACCGAGCAGAAGTCGCTGAAGATCTCCTTCACGGTGAAGGACGCCCCAATCCTCCCCGAACTCTGGGCGTCACGTGGCGCTTCCACAGGAGGCCGAAGTCGATGTACTGCCACCACGAGACGACGGCGGTGGAGATGACGCCGCCGGTCAGGAGAGCGCCCATGTTCTTCCACACGAAGGTCGCCTCGACGAGGCCGAGGTAGCAGAGCACCACGACCGCAACGTGGGACAAGAAGTACGACAGCAGGCCGTTCATGGGGTACTTCAGGCGGTTGCCGTTCTTCAGCTTGACGCCGTCGTGGACCTCCCCAGGCAGGAATATCTCCATCAGAGCCTGGAAGATGACCCAGGCGACGTAGGACATGGTGCCCACCCACGTCGGCCGGATCGCGATGCCTTCGGGGAGCTCGTGATAGAGCTTCTGCCACCAGGCGGCGTCCCAGGGCGGAAGCTGCAGCCCCCCCTCGTTCAGGACGACGCAGCCGTAGAAGTACCAGATGCAGATGGGAATGAAGACTGACCAGAAGAAGCCCCCGAGGTTCCCTCCGAACTCCCCGATCGGCCGCGTCTGGCGCCGCACGACCGTGTCGGGGTCCAGGGGCACGGGCCCGGGGTAGACGTCCACGCTCAGGGGGGCCCGCCCCTTCGGCTTCGGCTCCGCGGCCTGGCCCGCTGTGCGCTTCTGCGGCGGCGTCTCCGCCCGCGCCATGCTGCCCTCACTGCGGCCTCGCTGCGGCCACTCGAGGCAGACGCGGGTCTGCCCTCTCCCTGGCGGCTCCTGGGGTCGCTCGAGCCAAAGAACTGCCCCAGGCGGCCTCTCACAGCGGACCCGCCCCGAGACGGCCCGAGAGGGCCCCGAGGGACCCCCAACCCTGCCGCACAGAAGCCCAAGACAGCCCCGGGACGACCATGAGGGCTCCTCAAGAAGTGGAGATGAGAAGTCGGAGAGGGGTCACTTGTGATAGCCTTCTGGGTCGCCGCACAGAGTGCTTCGCTGGCACGGTGGCGGATTTGCCGCAGGCACCTGCACACTTGGATGAGGTCGACAAGGCCCGGCCAGCCCCTGGGGAAGCAGCGCGGCCATCGCCTCGCTGGAGGGAGGATGAGGGAGGCGGAGGCAGAAGGGGTTAGGAGACAGGGGGAGGGAGGAGGGAGCAGGCCAGCGGAGTTCTGCAGGATGCTTGCCCTGAGTGCTGCTCCTTGAGGAGAGAAAAGCCCCCTAAGTGCCCCAGCGGTTGTGCCTGCTTCCTGCTACATGCGCCCACCCAGGCTAGCAGGGGCACCTCGCCGGCTTTGCGGCTGCTGCCGAGGACTGGGACCGCCAGCCCGACCTCCACTTCCAAAGGATCTCGATCTGAAGCTCTGCTCCAATCTGGCTCTGGAATCTTCGGTTGGGGTGGAAGTGGAGCGGCCTGTGGGGCCCGTGACACGAGAACGAATTCGCAGGCGCCCGCGAGCAGGCGGCGCCCTGGCGCGCAGGGTGTGGTGAGGCGCACGTGCCCCCGAGCCCTCAGAAGATGCCGGGCAGGATGAAGTACGGGACCTTCTCCTTGTAGGTCTCCCAGTCCTTCTTGTACTTTCGGGCGCAGCGCTCCTCGTCCCGCCAGAGCCTGTGGATGTCCATGATCCAGAAGTAGGCAACGTAGCTGAGGGGGATCCAGGGAAAGCCGTGCTTCGGCCCCGTGCAGGCCACCGTCCAGCCGACGCACATGACCATGTCCCC